CCCTCCCTGGCTCCTTCCGCCTTCCTGCGGGGACCTGCCGGGCCTGGGAACTGCGCGTACCCGGATCCCTTCAGGATGCTGGTGGGCGCCTGCCTGCAGCACACACTGGCACAGCCAGAGACTGTCAATCCTAGGGCTGTGGCCACTGGGCCCTAGGGGTACAAGGCTTAGGGGTCCCCTGGGAGCTGTGGTGAAGCAGGGGGCGCTCACCACTGCCAGGGGGCCCGGGGCCCAGGGCCCCTGCCCTCCCACGCCTGCTGGTCACACACACCCGCAACCCAGCATCTCAGCCCAGGCCACGTGGCCAGCATGTGTGTGTCCCTGGGGGAGCACCAGTGGCCGGGCCCATGCCTGCCACGGATGGGACAGCAGCAGGAGCGGCTCCTGCCCGGTCTTGCGCCAGGCGGCCTCGCTCGTCTTCCCCTGGATAGCGGCCCACAGGCTATTTACATAAATAAGTTTGCAACAGACGCGAACATCCAGGCTGCTCTCTGTCTTATTAAAATGTTCAAGTTGGAACTCGCTTACTGTTTGTGGATATCTCAATTCTGTTAAATAAAACAGTGACTAATTTATGGCTAAAACACAAGTTCAACAAATGAAAACCATTATTGGAGCTGCAGGAGCTGGTGGGCCGAGCGGCGCTCCCCGCAGGGCCGCGAGTGGGAAGAGGCAGAGAACCAAGTTCCCCAGGAGGGCTGCCCGTGGGCAGGGCTGCCACGGGCGCCCACAGCTCCTGCTCACTGGGGCGAGGGGGGCTGGCAGGGTCAGCGGTGGGATTCCTGGGGCCAGAGGAGAGATGGGAAGTCTGGTGGTGGGGGCCGCAGCCCCCCAGCCCACAGGGAGCCTGAGCCCGAGCCAGGCAGTGGGCATTGTATCCCAGAAAGGAGGCTGCACCTGGAGGGCAGAAGAGGTGCCCGCCTGAGACCCCGTGCCACCTGGAACTTGCTGTCGCTGGGCATGGGGTGTGGAGAAGCAGCCACCCAGGGAAGGCAAGTGACCCCAGACCCTACGGCGCTGCCCAGGGTTTGCTGGACTCGGCAGGAAATGCAGGAAGACGTCGCACTCAGGTTTAATTTTTATTTATTTATTTATTTATTTATTTATTTATTTATTTATTTATTATTGGAAAGATAGACATACAGAGAGGCAGAGAGACAGAGAGGCAGATGTTCCATCTGATGATTCACTACCCAAGTGGCCACAATGGCTGGAGCTGAGCCAATCCGAAGCCAGGAGCCCAGAGACTCTTGCAGGTCTCCAATGCAGGTGCAGGGTCCCAAGGCTTTGGGCCATCCTCGACTGCTTTCCCAGGCCACAAGCAGGGAGCTGGATGGGAAACGGGGCCGCTGGGACACGAACCAGCGCCCGCATGGGATTACGGTGCATGCAAGGCGAGGACTTTAGCTGCTAGGCCGCCATGCCAGCCCTGCACTCAGGTAATGTGGCTCTGACTCCCAGACTGGGGCAAACCTGTGAGTTCAGCTGCCTTTTGCAGAGCAGAACCAGTGGCAGAACCTAGAGGCCCTGGCCTCCACACTCGGGGGGGGGGAGGGTAGGCAGCCAGGCTGCTGGATACCCAGGAAATGCCCTGGAATGCCACCGATCACCCTTGGCCGCTGTGGCACGGGGGCTCCCACGGTCTGCAGATCTGGCAGGCCAGGGCTGAGGCCGACAGTGGCACCCACAGCTCCTGCTCAGCCCCGTGGGCTCGAGGGCAGCCACCCCACGGTGCCCTGTGCGTGGTAGAGCTGAGCTGAGGCTGGCGGCAGGTTACGGGGTTCCGTGTCTCTGATTGAGCCGGATGTTCAATTCAGGACACATGCACTGTGCATCGGGTCCACAGGCGGTGGGAGGGGCCGAGCACTTCACCAGACGCCGCTACCCTCGCTTTTCCGTAGCTTTATTTGTCTAACTGAAGGACACAGTGACACAGAAAGAGAGAAAAGGTAGAGACTGGTCAACTTCCCCAGACGCCTCCAGCAACCAGGGCTGGGCCAGGCTGAAGCCAAGTGCCCCGTGTGGACAGCAGGACCCAGGTCCCTCTCACCAGCTGCCCCGTGGGGCACACCCGCAGGGAGCTAGATGGGAAGTGCAGAACAGCTAGGAGGAATACACATACTGTCATAGGGTCCAAGCAGCGGCTCAATCTGTTGGGCCACAATGCCAGCCCACCCCTGCCCTGTCCGTGGCCTTGGAGCCATGGAAGACTCATCTCAGGAAGCTAGAGTAACCCCACCTCCGTGGCGGCTCCTAAGGCTTGTTCAGGACTTGGTGAAGCTGCGCCATGATGCTGGGTGATGGCCAACTTTGTCGGGGCTGCTGTGGAGTCAGGAGAGGCCAAGGCCCAGGGTCCTGGCATGAGTGTGCAGGTGTGGCGGGTGTGTGTGGGCTCCTGGGAGAAGCAGGACCCGTGGAACAGGTCAGCATCCTGTGTCAGGGTACCACTCCAAGTGCCAGGCTGCTGCTCCGCTTCCAGTCCAGCTCCCTGCTAGTGCACCTGGGAACACAGAAGTGCCCCCGGTACATGGGGGAGAGCCGGATGAAGCTCCAGGCTCCAACTTGGCCTGGCTTAGCCCAGCCTTGGCTGTTGGGGAATGAAACAGAGGGTGGAAGGTGTGTGTGTGTGTGTGTGTTTGTGTGTGCGTGTATGTGGCCCTTATCTCAGCCTCTCTGCCTTTCAAACAAACAAGTCTATAAAAAAGATAAATAAAATTAAGATAAACAAAAGCAAGTGTGGGGCCTGCACACCCCACCCCCTTCAGGGCTCCCCTTGGGCAACTAGTGGTTGGTCACACTTGTTCTGGGCAGACAATGCAGGATCAACAACTAGGACCCGCCTACCACAGGGGACAGATAAGGCCCACCTGCCAGGGGACGGACCAGGGCCACCTGCTATGGGGGAGGGTTAGGACCTGGGAAGGGGGTGCCACCTCCCCAGAGGAGCACTTCAGCGGCAGCTACAGCCCCTGCTGGGGGGATTCCAACCCTCTTTTCTGGGGCCTCACTGAAAGCAGTGTAGACAGAAGGAATCCTGGGGTGGGAGAGTGGGGTCCCCTCCAGTGGCTGCTGCCGCACCCTCCTCCCTCCTGTCTCTGAATGGGGAGGGGCAGGGCAGTGGGCAGGGGACCGGGGTGGGGGCAGGGCAGTGGTCCAGCCAGGGAGGGCTCAGGACCCAGTGCTTCGGAGCTCCTGGGCTGTAGACAGAGTGCACTTCTAACAGGACCTTCTAGAAAACTCCACACCCACGCAGGGTCAAGCACAACTCGCTGTCCAGGAGGGCAGAAGTCGCACAGCCCAGATGCAGAGCTCAGGTTTTGCCAATGACCAGATGGGCAGGGAAGAGCCAGCACACAGCCTGGCACCCAGAGGGGGAGGGGAGCGCAGGACCCCCAAAGGCTCTGCAAGCCCCACCCCACCCCCCGTGGCCTCAGTCCAACTCTTCTAAACATCGGATACGGACTTCCACAACAGGGAAAAAAAACCACGTTTTTGGACACAAACTCGCAGCCCTTTCCCTGACCCAGAACGTGCCCTGTTCTTAGCTGGGGGTAAGGAGGAGGAGGCGCCCGGGCCATGGGCCATGGGGCCGCAGGCCCTCAGCATCGCTCTGGGGCCTGTGCTGCCCAGGCCACCTGGCCTGCTCCCGGAGCATCGCCAATGCCATGGAGGGTCCCCAGGAAGCAGCAGGTGATGGAGAGGGGCTGGGAGGGCCCAGGGTCCAGAGCCGGCCACGCAGGGAGAGGTCAGGACAGCCGGCCCGGGGCCTCGGAAGGAGCGCTGGGCTGGCTCCATCTGAAAAGACACTTTATAAAAATACATTGTAATTGAGTTTAATAATCTGCTCCTTTCCAGAAAGGGCCTGACAGGCGCTGCCTGCCGCTCACTTCTGCCCCATTCCAAATATTTTTACCTTATTTGGATGAAATGCATTATTTTCCTAATGAAAGCCTTTTTTCAAAGGCTGCCTGCCCTTGGCCAGCACAGCTGCCTTTATTAGGCAGCGCTCACGCCGTCCTGGGGAGGGGTTTTCTCTCCCTGAAATCGCGCCAGGCGCTCGGTCCACAGGAGCCCGACTCGGTCCACAGGGCCCCGGATGCTGCCCTGCGCTCCTCCACCCCGAGTCCAGGCACCTGTCAGCCTGCGGCCAGGGGCTCCCTCCCCACAGGGCCAGCTCTGCAGGGCGGCCCCAGGGCATCTGCCCTCTAGTGTCTCCTTGCCATCCCACAGGGCAGGGCCCCCTGAGAGCTGCAGAGGGTAGCCAGCAGTCACCAGAAGAGGGTCTAGCAGAGGGAGGGTGGCATGGAAGGTCAGTCTCCAGCCTCTAGGCTAGCTCCTGGCTTGGCCACCTGCGGCCCTCTGCCGACCCATCCCATGGCCCTGGATGGGCACAGGGCCACTCCCTGTGGCAACCAAATATGCCCTTGGGACCTGAGAGACCTGCTCACTGTGGACTTGACTTTCCCCAGAACATGTGGCTGGCAGTGCTGGGGCCCACCTGGAAGACATGACCTAAGAGCTGGCACTAGGCCTGAGGCCAGCTGCAAGCAAGGGAAGGCCCACCAGGCCACACCTTCATGCCATGTGCAGAGGCCTACAGGTGCAGAGGCACCAGGGCTGCCCACTTGCAGCACGCACAGCCCCATGGGACCACAGCCACTCGGAAGAGGCTTCCGGCTCTGGGGTTCGGGACCAGTTAAAAAGACACGGGGAGGCCGTGGGTGCGGCGTGGGAGGCAGAGAGGAGACACAGGCCCTCCCCAGGCAATGCTGAGCCATTTAAGGCAGGCGGCTCATCTCCCAGCGGCAGGTCTAAATACAGCAACGGGAGGTCCCACTCCCGCAGCCAGACGTGCCCCTGGTAGCAGCTGGCCCTGGGGGAGGGCCTGGAGCTGCCTGGCAGGCTCTTCCCTCCTCACGCCCCTCAGGGGTCCTGCCTGGGTGAGCAACACCCATGTGGGGTGGGTGGGAGGGGAGAAGTCAGGGAGCACCAGGCAGGAGTTAAACAGCAGTAATTCGGATTTATTACAATTATATACAGTCATGTCTGATCCTCTGAAATCTACACATGATCACACTGACGGACACGTGTTCTGGTGGGGGAACAGCGAGGCCAGCAGTCAGCAGGGCCCTCTGCCCAGCTCCACATGGGCGCGGGGTACACGTGTCAAGGCAGGGCCCATCATCTGGGAGGACAGCGGGAACAGCCAGTAGGGCTGGGCACAGGTGCCCAAGATGGCAATCCTCACGGGATCCAGGGCCCTGACAGCCCCTGCCCAGGGAGGGAGCCAGGGCACTGGCTTTGGACCACAGTGAGAGAAGGCCCGCGGCCCAGGGGACGAGAACAGCGGAGGCCAGAGGGGCCGCAGAGCCCCTGCCGGACAGGCAGGCAGGACACGAGCTCGCGCCATGCGGGTGTTAGCGAGCCAGGACGCAGGGACAAGGTGTGCGTCCATGAGGCTGGGGGACAGAATCACGATTGTCCACTGCCACGGCTGGGGACTTCCCCAAGCCAGAGGTGAGGGGGCGGAGCCACAGGCCCACCTGCCGGATGTGGTCCCGGCCTAGTCGCGCTCATGCTCATTGCTCGCACCCTCAGGCCGCCGCAGCTTCTCCACCTGCTCGTTGATCTGCCCGTCGCCGCCCCGGCGGTCCTCCCTCTGCACTCCCAGGCAGTCCTCCTCGTCCACATGGCCCACGTCGTCCTCCTCATCTTCCTCGTCCTCCCTCTTCTCCTCCTCGCCCTGCACCTCCATCCGCACCTGGCCCTTCACGTCCACCGCCCCCTCGCCGGCCTCCTGGGGGCCCAGCAGGTGGTAGGTGGCTGTGGAGCCCTCGGGGCTGTGGCTCTCCTTGCCCGGGGAGGGGGACGCGGACTCGTTGCTGACAGGCGAGATGTCGCTGCTGCTGTGGTGGCTCACGGCCGCGGGGCTGGATGGAGCCGCTGACTGCACGGGCATCTGCCAGGAGGGGATCTTCGGGGCTGAGGGGGAAGGCGGGAACTGTCTCCTGGCAGGGGACATGCAGGGCAGAGAATGGTGGCCGTGTCCAGGACTCCTGCCCTCCCAGCTGACTGCACTGGCACTCTGCCCCAGGGGATGCCACCTGCCTTGGCAGCCGTGGGGACAGTGGGGCCTTGGGAGGAGGCAGGAGCCCCCAAGGGCCGGCAAGGGGGAGGCATGCTGATGGCCCGGGCAAGGATGGCAGGGGCAGCCCTGGGCCCTGGCCAGGGTGGCTGAGACATCAGAACCACAAGGGGGATGTCTGCGCGCTGTGCTGGAGACCCCTGGGGCCCAACAGCGCCCACAGGGCCAGTGGCCAGTCTGGAGGGACCAGAGAGGGCAGGTCCACTTGGCCACGGCCCAGAACGCATCCTCCCCATCCCGTCATCTCATCTCGGAGTCTCGCCTTCTTTCCTACCGGTTCAAAAGAAGCCCTTTCAGGGAGTTAATTTCCGATTTGAGCTCATTGATGTTCTGGGACTCCAGGAGCCAGTTGGTGGATGTGGTGGCCTGAAAGTGAGAGCACAGGGGGATGGGGGCAGGGCAGGGGGGAGGGAACAGAAGGGACGGTCAGGGGTCAGAGCAGGGGCGAGGAGGTCAGGGCAGGGAGATGGGGGCAGGGCAGGGGGAGAGAACAGAACGGGGGGGGGGGGTCGGGGGAAGGGCAGGGGGAAGGGAACAGAGCAAAATGCAAGTCTCATCTTGCAGCTAAAACCCAGCCGCCCCTGCAGCCAACCTGCCCACACGGTTCGGGTACCTGGTGACAACAAGGACCACTCTGGCTGTGAGGTGACATTCCGGCTAGGAGTCCTGACAAGGGGCAAGCCCGTCCATCCCCCGACCAGCTACCCCGACTCCTCAGGGCTGTCCCTGTTGGTGGAGGGGCCCAGCGAGCACCCCAATGGCATCTGGACACTACCTCGGAGCCTTGGGCTGCTCACCCTGTCCCTACAGCCCTCAGCTTGTCACGGGGCTGCGCCAGGTCATGCCTCCCTGTGCCCCGGCATGGGTCCACAGCTCAGATCCCCAGGGGCTCCTTGGTGGAGCACTCCCCTGCCACAGATGGCTCAAGCGCACAGCGGGGCAGGCGGCTCCAGGCAGGCCAGGGCAATCCTCTCTCTGCAGCACCACCTCACCCCCAACTCCCATCTCCACGACCCTGGCTTTCTGGGCCTCAGCCCCAGGGACCGGCTGGAGGGCCCAGGCCTCAGTGTGCACATGAGGCACTGTGCTTGATGGCGGGTGGCCCAGGTGGAAGGTGGCCCTCGCTCTCACTGCAGACCTGAAACTCAGGGGACAGGCCTACGCCTATGCCTGGGCGGGGGGCTCCATGCCTCCCGGGAGCAAAAGCAGGAGCCAGGGGAGGCACTGCCAGAGCACACCAGCTGCCCTCCCTCACGGGCCCTCGGGGGGTCCTCTCCAGGCCACCTGACAGCAAGGAGCCCACCGCCAATGCCCGGCTGCTCGAAGCCCAGAGAGCCTGCAGCCCGTTAACGAGGGAGCCACTGCCACGCACCAGCCTCCCCATGACTCGGATTTCCAAATGCATACGGTGCCAGATGCCAGGATTTAGAAATAAAATGTGACATCTGGGCTTTGTAGCCAGCCTCTTTAAAACACAGTTGTAGAAAACTCACAGCCTTCAGTTTTATGTAGGTTTGTTAATTACTTAAAGCTCTTCTTTTTAAATTTTTTACAGCGTGCCAGTAGAAGTTTGGAAGCCAGATCTAAAACCTCACGTTACAGCTGAAAAAACACAGCTCCGGGGCCCTAGATTTACAGGGTAACCCGAGTCTGCACACACATGGGCTTGGCAGCCAGGCAAGCGAACCCTGTTTAACAGGGGTGCGGAGGGGCTGGGGTCCTCAGAATCCCTGGCAGAGACTATTGGAGGCAGCGCAGTCACGGCCCGCGACCCAGCCTGCCCCTTCCCACTTGCAACATGTGGTCTTAATTTTGATGCTCGACGCCTGAAAATGGTTTTCCAATTTCCGGAACGGCTTTTGGCAACTGGCAGATTGCATTCATTGACAATATCAGGGCATGTGCCCCCTTTATGGGCCAGCCGCCTGCTAGGAGTCCCTTGGCGGCTGCAGGACCCGGACAGCCACCCTGGGGGTGGAAGTGCAGGCTGTGACTGAGTGTGCAAGCATGCAGGGAGGAGCTGATTGGGGCCTTTTCACAAGAGTTCCCCACCTCCCATGGAGTGGCTGGGGGAGGGCTGTGGCCCCTGCTCAGCTCAGAGCCATGGAGAAGGCTCTGGGGAAACGGGTTTACCCAGCACACCACAGAGCCACAGGGCATGCGCTTGGGCGTGTTCTGTGTGAGGCAGCATGAGGGGCAATCCGTGTCTCACACCCACGCACTCTGAGACCAGCAACCTGGCAGCTAGCTATAGCCAGACAAGACACCACAGTACGGCCCTACAGAGCCGACCGAGGCAGGTGCCATTACGGCTCAGACACAGACGTAGATGGCCCACGTGCGGTCACATAGCTCCAGCCGCAGAGCCAGACTTCTAACCCAAGGGGTCTGAGTCCCGACTCCTACCACTATAACTGAACCCCTCTCGGAGGTCCTGCTGGTGCCAATACCTTTAGGGCCCCCTAAACCTGCAAAACCCAAGTTTCCAGACTCTGCCCAGTGCAGGGGTGCGGCCCATGCAACAAATGGCGCACACTTGTTTACCATTCCCTGGAGCCCACCCTCCCGCAATGCCATGACCTGCTATCACCCCTGCGGCCTTCTCTGGCTACTGGCTACACTGTCAGCCTCTGGCGCTATGTGCGCGTGGCTGCCACAACAGACCCACGGGTAGGAGGTGGTGACAGAGACGGGCCAATCAGCCGCAGTGGTCACAGCACACCATCCACGGGGGGAGACCGAGTGGACACAGAGAGCAGAGTGGGGAGTCAGAGTGGGCAGGCCCCCGGACCTGGAGTCAGGGCCAAGTACCTTGGCAGTGGCCAGCTCGTGGGCAAGCTCCTGGACCTTCTGCTGCTGCTGGAGCAGCAGCTCCTGGAGCGCGGCGAGCGTCGTCTGCAGCTGGGTCACTGGGGGAAGGAGCAGGTGCGCCTGTTAGAGCCGGCCAGCGGCCTCCCCTCCCCGCAGTCCACACAGCTCGGAGCTGCCCGGCTTCCTGCCGCAGGCGACTCATCGGCAGACACCCCCAGCGCGCCAGCCGGATAATTTATCTGTGCCCTGGGTAATCCACCTGCACTGTATCTAACCTCCAGTATTTCTACTTTATCTTTCCATTGTGGAGTTGTCCGTGGTCAACAGTATATCCGTCCAAAACCTCTCCCCTCTAATTATGTCTGCTTGTGATGTGCTCGGCTGCCCTGGCTTCTGCAGCTCAGCGGCGTCACTCATCTTGGGGGCGCTAGGAGCCTTGGCCCCCAAAGTGCAGCTCAGGTCTTAGCTGTCTCCAGGAGCAGTGACCGCAGCAGAGCACGGCCGACCTCGGCTCCTGCTCAGCAGATGCCCGAAGGACAGCTGGCAAACATGGATGCCCCAGAGGAAGTAGGGTCCTGCTGGGCAGCGGGCGCCCTTGCTTGCCTGGAGTTCTCAGACCCAGAGCTTCTACCTAGTGAACAGATTTATAGAGCAGAGAAAAAGCCACCACGGGCGCGACAGGTCCCAGCTAATCTGGGCCATCACTGGGGCACCGGGTAATGAAGGCAAGCCCGCTGGAGTCGCTAACGGAGGAGGTGGCTGGGGTCCCGGGAGCCACAGTAATTACAGACTCTCTTGACCCCATGTTGGATTCTTCGAGGGAAGGGGGAACATCACTGAAAACCCCCCTGTAAACCTCCTAGAAGCAGAAATTAAAAATGAACTTTCCAGCCCTTAGAAAGGCTGTCATTTTATTCCCCTTATTAATATTCTGAGGTTGGGAGCCTTTCCGTAAAAACATAATTAATTGAGGCCGCGCCGACAGTAAACAAGCAATTTCAAATTAAACCGAAATGACGGCGGCTTCATTTGCAAATGTGAACAGATTCTGAGAGCAGATAAATGAAGTCACCACATAAAGTGGAGACGGAGGGCGAGGGGCGGGGGCCGCGGAGGGGCCGCGCGGAGGAGCTCCGAGGGTGACTTGATGGAGTCATTAATCTTTACCTGTCTGGGCCACGCTGCCACTCAGCTCCGAGAGACTCGCCTCCATCCTGCCCAGCTGCTTCCGGTCCTCACGGCCACCCAGGATGAGGGGGAGCAGGTACTGCTGTGAGAAGTGCGGTGGGTGAGGCCCTTCTCCAGCCCCCACCCCATCCCCACGCCCACGGACAAGGCCACGGGCGCTCCGGGTGTGACCGCGGCACGCAGAGCAGGCACACGGAGCAGTCACGGCCATGCGGCTCCTTTCCCACAGTTTCCACGGGGACTTTGACACTTCTTTGACAAGCACATTTACATCCTGTTTTAGCAGGCCCAAGATGAGGCAAGATGCACAGAAACCCATACTGCTGCTGGTCTCTGGGGAGCGGGCCGGAGTCCTCAACACTTTAAGTGCTCACTCACCAAGAGCCTCAGGGCACCGAGAGCCAGGACGGCTGGCCCTGGCCTGGCCTGCTCCTCCGGGGCCAGGGTGAGGCAGCTGAGGGCAGCTGCAGGAGGCACTTCAGTCTTTGAGGCCATGGTCCCTGAAAAACCTTCCCTCACTGCTGAGCCACAAGCATCCCAGCTCCTCAACAACTGAAATTCAGGCCAAAGGGGACAGGGCTGGGCAGCCCCCAAAGAAACCAGTGCTGGGTAAAGCCGCATGGCCAACCTAGGTCCCAGGGAGTGCGGACAGAGGGCAGGCAGCTCTCTGTGCCCAAGGTAGTGAGACATGGTCAAGTTCAACTCTCACAGGTGGTGCCACATGAGAGCAGCTCAGGCCTGGCGGGCATTACTGAAGGTGAGCCTGCTAAGGCTGCCGTCCTGGAGGTGGGAGGGGGTCACGGGAGCAGGTGGTCCCCATGGGAGACATAGGTGGGAGGCTGCTGTAACGTCAGCATCAATATGAGCTCAGGTTCACTTCCAATTCAGCTCCCTGGCAACACACACGGGAAAGCAGCTCAAGGACTTGGGCCCCTGCAATCACGTGGGAGACCCAGAAGCAGCTCCTGGCACCGGGCTGCCTAGCACAGCCTCAGCTGCTGTGGCAGGGCTCCTGGCCCTGGCCCTGGCTCCTGGCCATGCCCTGGGCTGCCTAACACAGCCCCAGCTGCTGTGGCAGGGCTCCTGGCCCTGGCTCCTGGCCCTGCTCCGGGCCGCCTAGCACAGCCCCAGCTGCTGTGGCAGGGCTCCTGGCCCTGGCCCTGGCTCCTGGCCCTGCTCCGGGCCGCCTAGCACAGCCCCAGCTGCTGTGGCAGGGCTCCTGGCCCTGGCCCTGGCCCTGGCCCTGCCCCGGGCCGCCTAGCACAGCCCCAGCTGCTGTGGCAGGGCTCCTGGCCCTGCTCCGGGCCGCCTAGCACAGCCCCAGCTGCTGTGGCAGGGCTCCTGGCCCTGGCTCCTGGCCCTGCTCCGGGCTGCCTAGCACAGCCCCAGCTGCTGTGGCAGGGCTCCTGGCCCTGGCCCTGGCTCCTGGCCCTGCTCCGGGCCGCCTAGCACAGCCCCAGCTGCTGTGGCCATCTGAGGAGCTGAACCAGTGAAGGGAAGATTCTGTTTCTCCACCTCTCTCTATCCCTGCCTTTTAAATAAACAACAATTTTTTTTTTTTAAGTGAAGTGCTCTTAAGCCCAGGTGAATCCTCATTCACAACTGAGCTGAAACTCATCAACTATAGCCTTTAGCCTCTCACTTCACGTGGAAAACTTCCCAAGCATCAAAGACACCCCGCAGGTGTACCCAGCTAACAATGCCATCCTGACATCACAAATGCCAGGGCAGCGCAGGGCAGGAGCAGAGCTGCTGCCCCAGGGGCCGTCTTCAGGTATTGACAAAACACCAGGATGACTTCTTACTGCTCCTCCTTCAATTGTTTTCAATTTAAATAAACGATCTGCTGAAGCTTTAGAATGTTCTCAAGGGCCCTAGTGCCTCAAGTCCTCGCCTTGCATGCTCTAGGATCCCATATGGGCACCGGTTCGTATCCTGGCTGCTCCACTTCCTTTCCAGCTCCCTGGACCCATGTGGGAGACCCAGAAGAAGCTCCTGGCTCCTGGCTTTGGATCAGCTTGGGTCCAGCCGTTGCGGACACTTGGAGAGTGAACCAGCAGATAGATCTTTCTGTCTCTTCTCTGTAAATCTCACCTTCCAATAAAATTAAAAAAAAAAAAAAATTTAAGACATTCTTGCCATTCTCTCAATTTGTATTTGGGGGTCTCTTCTTTCCTAGAGCAAAGCAGGGCATGGCAGAAACACCTGCCTCAGGAACCCCACCCAGGGCCCAGACCACCCGGGGCAGCTCTGCAGGGAGCAGGCCTCCCCGGGGCAGCTCTGCAGGGCGCAGGTTACCTGGGGCAGCTCTGCAGGGCGCAGGCCTCCCTGGGGCAGCTCTGCAGGGCACAGGCCTCCCTGGGGCAGCTCTGCAGGGCACAGGTTACCTGGGGCAGCTCTGCAGGGCGCAGGCCTCCCGGGGGCAGCTCTGCAGGGCGCAGGTTACCCGGGGCAGTTCTGCAGGGCACAGGTTACCTGGGGCAGCTCTGCAGGGCGCAGGTTACCTGGGGCAGCTCTGCAGGGCGCAGGCCTCCCCGGGGCAGCTACACACTGGCCACGTGTGCACCACCCAGCAGAGCTGAGGCACTCGGGAGAGGTTAATGACTGTCTCACTCTCCTGGTGTCTAGTGCATTTAGTGCCTGGGAAGGGGCCGCGCACACACAGGTGAGGGAGGCACCAGCCTAGACGAACACGTCTCGGGCCCCAGCACAGTTTGTTTCTGGATTTCTGACATGGAAACTTCCAACTCCAGGAATAGATGAAAAAATTACATTGTGCTATAATTCTGTCATTAACTTTTGTATTAAGTCAAAAATTAAGAATCCCAGAGAGCAATGTTTAAACATGTCTCACATGCTCAAAGTTACAGCTTGAGTCTGCGTGCTCACTCAGGTCCAAATAAGGGGTGAAGGAGCTGGCGGCTTTAGCAGAGGGGGCCTCTCGCCAGGGCCAGAAGACTCCTGGCCAGCCCTGCCCTCCAGGACAAGCTTGCATCCTCTGATCCAAGTGGGAGCTCCACCCTGGTACCAGGCAAGGACACGCCCACTCGAGGCCTAAGGCCCCACGCTCCGCACCAACCCCTGGGTGCAGAGGGCTGATTTCCAAAGCCCAAGGGAACCCCCCACCCCAGTCTACAGGTGACAAAAGGTGAGGCTCAGCAACCGACTACATGGGCTCCTGCAATGTGGCTTCCCATGAGCAACGGCACAGATGGGGCTGCCCGGGTGCCAACCCGGGCACTTTCTCAAGGAGCCAGGACTGCTGGGGTTACTCTGCCAACCCCAGAAATGAGCACAGCCATAGTCGCTCCAACTCCAGCACAGCAGCTGGAGCAGTGTCTGCCTGACCCGCTCTCACACGCACACGCTGCTTGCCATGTGCAGGCACCATTGAGGCTCAGCCTCCAGTCACCTGTGAGGAGTGAGGCGCTTGCAGGAGAGGCAGGTGCCCGGCCGCGGGGCACCAACGAGGCCTGACCACTGCCTCCCAAGTGTGCAAGACCTCAACACTGCCTGCCCCTGGCACAGAGCTCTAGAGCAGCCTAAGGGTGCCAGGACATGGCACCTGCCACCACCAGGAAGGCAACTTACCTTGTAGAGTTGGTGAAGGCCAAACGTGATTCCGGCCATGATGATGGCCAAGGCGCCATAATCTCGCCATCGGGAGCCCGCGGGGCCTAGGAGTGGGAACAGACAGTGAGGACGGGCTCACAGCAATAGTTTCCCAGGGACACAGGGGCAAATACACATGCCCTGGGGCACACGGCGGCAGGAAGACAGCATGTGGCCATCAGGAACATCACCTCCGTCCAGGCCCTCTGAGTCATTTGCACTCCCTGGGACACAGTGATAGCCATGTCCACAGGGTGATCCAAGCCCCCACTCTGCTCTCCTGCAGAGCCAAGGAGAAAGACGACACAGGCCCCAAGGCACGGGGCTGCAGAGAGAGAGAAAGCAGAAGGGTGGGCCAGGGAGGTGGGCAGGAGTAGACAGCAGGGTCAGGAGGGCCTTGGTGGAGGTGGCAGCAGAGAGCTGCTGTTCCCAGGGCAGGGAAGCGGTCTGTACCACCATGCCCAGGGCATGTGGGACACAGAGACCAGCCAGGGAAGGAGCCCACGGTGCCAGCGGGAAGTCCCAGGGCTCTGAGCAGCCAGGTCCTGGGGGTAAACCTGGCAGATGAGTGAAGGAGGAGAGTGGCTGCACCTGGCCGCTCTCACCAAGAGCGTCGCAGCCTGGCTGGGCAAAGCAGGGACACAGGACGCTTCCCGCCTTCCCCTCCCTCCTGTGCCTGCCAGCTCCTGGTGTCCCGGGATAGGACAGGAGCTGCTCGGTAAGCCCCATGGCAGCACACGGGCACACGGGACGAGGACCTGCTGGCCAGTGCAGGAGTCTCCACCACAGAACTATCTTCAGCCCAGGCCTCTCCCAGCCCCTCAACTCCCATTTCTGGTGAACCCTTAAACATTTTTTGCTTTGTTTGAAAACCAGAGTTATAGAGAGAGGGGGAGGGAGAGCGCTCAATCTTCCATTCACTGGGTCACTCCCTAGGCCAGGCTCCAGCCAGGAGAGTGCAGCATAGCCCGTCTCCCACATGCATGGCAGGGGCCCGCACACACGAGCCATCTGCTGCTGCTTTTCCAGGCGTACCAGCAGGGAGCTGGGTTGGAAGTAAAGCAGTTGTGATTTGAACCAGCACCCTCTTGGGATGCCAGGCTTGGAGGAGACAACCTGCGGTGATGTCCACTTTCCCAGGTGACACACGGTCAGAACCGACCCCTCTCAGCAAGGGCCATCCTCTGCCCGACTCACAGCTCGGGCTCAGGTCTGCCCGTCTGCAGAGCTGTGTGCGTGCGGCAGGGACCCCAGACAGAGCCTGTTTCCCTTCTCTCACCTTTTGTCTAGCTGCACAGTATCTGACCTCTCCCTGCACGGGGACACGTGGCTCGCTTCCTCCCAACCTCGCCCACAGCACACGGGGCCTAGGCCCATGACAGCATGCATGTCACCTCCCCCATGGGCACAAGGAGGGCTGACAGAGTGCTGGGTCACGAGGTACATGGGCACTTTTTTTTTTTTTAATTGAAAGTCAGATATACAGAGAGAAAGAGAGATAGAGAGCAAGATCTTCCGTCTGTTCACTCACTCCCCAAGCAGCTACAATGGCCAGAGCTGAACTGATCTGAAGCCAGGAGCCAAGAGACTCCTCTGGGTCTCCCACGCAGGTGTAGGGTTTCAAGGCCCTGAGCCGTCCGACTGCTTTCCCAGGCCATAAGCAGGGAGCTAGAAGGGAAGCTGGCTGCTGGGATTAGAACTGGCGCCCATATGGAATCCCGGCGTTTGCAAGGCAAGGACTTTAGCTGCTAAGCTACTACGCCGGGCCCACATGGGCACTTCTGAGACATAGCAACTTATGTCCGGCACTATCCCTAATTTCACATAATGCATACAGCAGGCGCCAGCTGTCTTCCACAGCACTGTGGCAAGACGGCCACCCATGGCGGTCCGGTGTCACTTGACCTTGCTTTGAGGGCAAGTCTTTTTTTTTTTTTAAGATTTATTTTCATTTGAAAGGCAAGATTTTACAGGAAGAGGCGAGAAAGCCTCCATCCGCTGGTTCACTCCCCAGCGCGGCCCAGCAGCCAGAGCCGAGCCGGATGTGTACTGAACGGTCTCCACTTGATCAATTTCTTCCTTTTCTTTTAAGATTTACTTCTTTTTATTGGAAAAGCAGATTTTACAGGGAGAAAGATCTTCCACTTGATGCTTCACTCTCCAAATGGCTGGAGTTGCCTTCAGAGCTGATCTGAAGCCAGGATCCTCCTCCAGGTCTCCACTGCTTTCCCGGGCCACAGCAGGGAGCTGGATGGAAAGTGGAGCAGCTGGGACATGAACCACGACGCCCACATGGGATGGTGGCAGGGCCATCCCAGCCTCTGACGGGAGTCACACACACCTTGTCTGCCCCTCATCTCCGGGCCCCGCCCATGGGGATTGTGGCCTGCAGACGCTCGCGTTTCTATGAACACAGCCACCCACTGTCATGGCCCCAAGGGCTGTGTGGCAGTTAGAAGGATGTCCCACCCCGTCCTGGGCTGATAGGATCAGTGCTCAGGTGTGCGCAGCGTCTTGGGAAGGGAGCTGTCCACCCTGCCCCCTGCCATGGGACACACTCTCAGGGGCTCAGGGACCACTGGGGGACCCTGAGGACCAGGCGTGAGTCTGGCTGGGGCTTCTGCCTCCTCTCCGTTTTCCCACTCAGCTTAGTTTGGCCTGCTAGGTGCAAAATCCAAATCCTAATGCAAGTTCACTCCCAAGGAGGAAACCAGGAAGGAGCTACTTGCCTTTTTAGACAGTCCCTGCTCAGGTGGCTGGAGTTCATGGCCACACCAATCCGTGCGGCCAGGTCCTCAGCGAGGGCACCTTCAGAACTGGGCATGATCACCCCCCTGTGGTGCTGGGACCCACAAGGCACTGGGTCAGGTGCCAGCTGTTCCACTTCTGATCCAGCTCCCTGTTAACAGCCTGGAAAAGCAGCAGAGCAGACCCAAGTCCTTGGTCCTGTGCAGCCACGTGGGAGACCAGGGAAAAGCGCCTGGCTCCTGGCTTCAGATCAGCTCAGCTCCAGGACTGGCCGTGTCGAGACGGAGCCAGGGATGGAAGATCTCTATCACCTCTGCCACTTTGTCTTTTAAAATGACAACACTGGGACATACTGCAGGACGAGACACTGACCACTTCTCAAATACACACTGGCCACCTTCCCAGCAAGCAGCTGGCCTCGAAGCTGGACCCCACCCCGGCCTGCAGGGTCACTGCGTTCCCTAAGGGGTGGCAGCCCGGGGCTCGGGAGCCACAGCCCTCCAGCAGCGGTGCCCTGTCCGGGGCGCTACCCTCAGCCAGGCCGAGACGCACCTGCGGTCGCCTCCAGCTCACCCTTCACCTCGCACGCCTCCTCCGTTCCTGCCAGGCTCCTGTTAAGAACATTTTATTGCCCTTGATTTTCATTATTAATGAAAAGGGACCAGAATGATCTTTCCTAAAGTTCAGAGAGTCTATAAAGACAAGAAGCTGAAATGCCATTTGACTCGTTGCAGAGCTGCGCGGCACAATCCTGTCTTGTGGCAAAATGAAGAAAAGAGGAAAACTCGGATAGAGAAACCCGTGCCCTGCGTGGCTGGCGGAGGGCAGCAAGCCGGGCTCCTGCAAGATCCCTGGCGCAGCGCAGAGCAGCTCAGCCCGCCCGAAGGGTCAGCGCAGGCCCCACCAGGCTGCCCTGTCACCACGCTCCCCGGGAACAGACAAGGGTGGAAAGTGGGGCTGGTTCTGCTGCTCAGCTGGGCGGGAAGAAGTGCACGCACTGAGCTCTCTGCACACTCAGGCCTCCAGACACCGGGCAAGCACGCTAGAAGCCCGGGATCGAGACCCCAACCGATGCCACCCCACAGCATACGACTCCAAGTGCCACTATGCCCACCTGACAGGGGCAATTGTGCTAGACCCCACAATGCAAGAATGCCTCTCAGTCATGCCCCGCCCCCAGGGTTGGCCTTGGTATCTCCATGGAGGACCAGGTGACCGACTGGCGATCACCCTTTAGCTCAATGTATGTCTGAGGCCGGTCACCGGCTGTGGCCAAAACAAGGAGGGGACGCACTGTGATGGAAGCGACAGGAAGCTCTTTGAAACTCAACAGCTCCTTCATGTTCCTGGACTCCAGGAACCACTAGCTGCTGGCAGTGCTTGTGGAGATGGGTGGCCCAGGGGAAGCGGCAGTGGACAGTGTCCACAGAGAACAGGGCCTGAATCAGGGACAAAGGCAACAAAGGTAGTTCTTTTGTTTCATTTTGTTTTTTCTCTAGGTCATTTCCTTAACAGTAGTTCCTCAGCCAAGAGCTGCTCGCCCTGAGCACCAACATCATCAACCATCCTGTGCTCAGGTGCGGGAGCCCTGCAGCATCCCGCGAGGGCCGAGGGCGCGTCCCGCGAGGGCCGAGGGCGCCTCAGCTGCGGAAATCCGACACTGCAGTGCAGAGCAGAGCAGAATGCTCACTGGGGCCTGTCCACCAGCTTCGCCCAAAAGCTGCCCTAGAACTCAACGCTAAGACAGCCTCACTCCCAGCGAATCAGTGCTGGCTCCAGCTGGACTAAAGGCGTGCATGGACGTGAAGGGACACAGCTGGGGGTGGCTGGCTGGGTGTGGTGCTGGGGTTGGCTGGCAGCAGTCGCAGGAGCACCTGGGCAGCCTGTCCAGAAATGACACTGTGGCCGCTGCGGGCGGGCCCGAGCCTGCCTTCCCATGCGCAGCCTGCGAAGACCACCTCCCCATCGCCCGTGGGCTGCGATGCTGTCACCAGCATCTGCGGGCTCGCAGGACACCGAGAGGCACACCCACCCACCCAGTCCCTTCCAGAAACTGAGCTGCCACCACGCTGTTGGGAGGGGCCCAGAAGTAGATCTGTGCTTCCATGGTCAACTACTTCTTTACCGAAGAGGCCAAGGCAAATGTGTGGAAAGGAAAGGATAAACCTTCACAGCGATGGCCCTGGAGCAAGCGGACACCCATGAAGGGCCAGGCCAACCCCGACTCTCCACATCACCATACACAGAAACTCATCCAAATGGATTCCACACCTACATAAAAATCAGAAACTATGAAGCTTATATGTCATAAAACGAA